AAACTGCCAGCGGATCGGAAATTGTCGTTTTGGGGGATTTCAATATCGACTATTTAGCTGTAAAAGACGACTCTGCAGACGTGTAGCTTGTAATACGAGATCTGGACGCACTGCAACACGTTTGAACCTAAGTTAAGTTAATACTTTGCTTAACGCAACACACGTATTCATTGGTGTAAGTATTCTAGGATCTCAAAGTTATTTCTTTCGTTGTGTTATTTTTAAAAGCTTATAATATAATTTTGAGAAAGTTGAGTGACAATATTTCCACGTCGGAAAGAATCAGTAAAATGTGGTTCTCGGCTATTTACCACCCAATCTACCAAGAACTCGCACTATTATATTGTTGAATAACTATGTTGTTTTGATCTTAAATACGTTATCAATTAAAATTCCAGTGTTTTTTACGTTACGTTATAGAGACGAAAGACTCAATCCCATGATCGAAAATAAGAATATCAAACATCATGATGCTTAGATATCTACCAATAATTTGCGCAAAGTAAATAGGACTAGGGAAAAAGGTAAGTGTCGAACGCCATCGTAAGAGCTTTCCGTCGTCACTGCTTAAAGTCCCTATAGTGTAGATGTTTAGTGTACATTTTTGTTCAGTGTACAGTATGTAAAAATAAATGCCACGCCTATAAGGCTGATATCTAAATAAACCTCAGGCTGGAGTTAAGTAAATAAATAAGGTAATTAGATTGAACATGACGCTGACGGTTTTTATATCATATTTTAATTGAAGTGAAATCATCTATTCCACAATAAGGCGAATTAGAAACTGCCTAAAAAAACGAATACGGAATAATGAATAACGAGAAAAATTTAAAAATGAATAATGAATAACCTCGAAAAAACTGAAAGGAATGATGAATAAGTGAGATCCAATTATTCTGCTTCCACCCCCGAATATAATCATTTCAGTTCTTGCCGTACGTGACACCACAAAAGAAGATAAACACCTCAGACTATTTTCACAGTGGCATCCACCGACGCATAATTGTCGCACTGGAGCTTTTTTGCCCTTTTTTGTAAGTTTAAGTGAAAAATCTGTCAATAGGTAACCTATAACAAGTGCAATCGCCAAATTTTCGCCAATCCTAAAAGAACCGAACGTCCTGCCTCGAATGCCTCCACATTTTGGCAAAACAGTCATGTTTTTATTTGAACTTTTTAACTGTCATGATATGCAAGATATGTCTGGATAAAATTTTAATCGCTCGTCTACTCTGGCGTGCGATAGCAAGATTTTCCTTGTCCATTTGACTCTTTTTCTTTCGAGAGAAACAAATTTAAGCGTCACTATTATTCAGATGTCTGTGACTCATACCCCAGGTCCGCTTATACTAGAAGCAATTGGAGAACATATGGCGTGAACGAGAAATTCTCCTTCAGTTGCAAGTGTAGAGGCCAGCGCAAGAGATCACCGGGAAAAAGGGATCCATTCCGCCGTAGCAATTGGCGTGATATTTTTCTATTTCTTTTTAGAGTGATGAGGGTTTGTGATTGACATATGAATCAATCGATGAAGTTTTGGTCAAGGAATTTTAGTTCGATGCGAGACAAATATTCCGCAAGCGTCATTACACAACCTCTCTCTCCCGTGGGGAATCCCATTTCGTGGAATTAACTTCGCGCTAATCGTAAATAGTCGAAGGTTTCCCCCACCAAAAACACCTTAAACAAAATGCTTTTTTCATTAAATTTCCAGGCAACTACCAATAAAATTCGCCTTATGCTGCCTTGTGCGTCACCCCATTACATATCATTTCCCTGTAAACAACCTACATTTTATCATGTATTCCACACATAAGGACAAAGTCCAGATAGGCAAAAGCTCCCTCGTTGTAATGCCCACATGAAAGCCTTAGAAATGTGATTCTTTCTCTTCCTTCGATGTATTTTCTCTTATTCGAAAAACGGAGACCGCGAAATATATTTGATTAAGGTCTCCGAATTTAAAATTAATTTTCCAGGCAAAGAGAGAGTACCCTGGGAGCGAGGTTGTACCGTTTACACTCGTCCCCAGGATCATCTCCACTTTCAAAATGGCGGGTGGGCGGTTTATAGTGACAGTTGAGTGATAGTCAGGCGCGAAATGATCCACGACCTCCTAGCTGGACCCTGGACCAATCGAAGAAAAAGTACTCGCAAAAATGGCTCGCATGGCTCGCAGGGCTTGCCAGCTGACAGATTTAGCAGACCCAACTATTGGAACCAATTTAGTAAATGCACATGTCACAACATAAATGTGAAGAGGAATTTCCTTCACTCACCTGGGACAAATGAATATACTCTGTCAATCTTATCCCTTAGCTCCATAACACATCTCATTCCTTCAACTGTAAAAGGATTCCCTCTCACATACAAAATATTGAGTTTCTTCCGCTTTTTTATAGCTGAACTCAACACAGTCAACTGGTTGTAACTCATCCCCAGTCGCTTCAGGTCCACCATCTCCCAAATAGTATCAGGGATGGTGGTTAGATTGTTATGTGAGATGTCCAGTCTGGGAACGGTAATTTATTCAGTGGAATCAGATAAATCCCTTGCTTGTGGAAGAAACGACGGAGTAGGAGATTAATAGGTTAATGATTAAATGAAATCAGGCCCTAAATACATTTCCTCTTTCTGTTACACCCCTCCGTAATATTTACCTTTCTTTGTGGTAACCGAAAAAAAAATATATCAGATATAACTTAACAAATTACTTATCGTCTTTATTACATATTTACATCATCAGTTAAGTACAACACTAACGAAAACTGTCGATACTAGGAGCACTTACGACAATTTTTTTTTTTACTTACTATCCGAGAACGTCCTCTCCTCTTTGTATTTTTTGCTGGATTTATGATCAGCGCATGAGAATTTTATCCCAGAAACTTGAAATCGCTTTCAATCGCCCAAATTAAGTGACAATAAATCGAGTTTAGGAGAGGAAATTTGTTAACACTTTCCTATAATTTCAACCTTATAAAGTTTGCTGGCCGTGTGTAACGTAGTCTATACAAAACTGAACTGCAAGACTAAATACTTCAAACTTGAACTCTTACTTAAAAGCGCTTTTTTTTAACAGATGGCCTCCTTCACAATCAGTGATTCTATCTATCAAATAAATTAATTCAGTGTTCTCTTTCATTCATTTTACTTTCATTTTTATATCAATTCCTTTGCCACGATGTTTTGGTCTTCGAGATCACTTCTCACTCGTCCACGATGATCGCCAAGCGCATTCTCTTCTGGTTGGGGATCGCTAGACTGCTGGACTGGACCGCTGGACTGGACCGCTAGCTTCTGGACTGGACCGCTAGACTTCTGGACTGGACCGCTAGGCTGCTGGACTGGATCGCTGTACTGCTCTATTTCTAGAATAGTAGGCTCCACGTGAAGAGTACTTTAAGTGGTTACACGCTTGACAGCTGGACAGAAAGGAGAGAAGAGGTTAGTGTATTAGATCAACTGGTTACCATGCCTCTCTGCCATGAGTAAAAAATTAATGGTAAAACAAATGCTATCAAGATAATGAGGATTTGGCATTCACACCT